ATATTCTATTTTCTTGCAAATCCGCACAATTCAAACCTGCTGCCAAATTTAACAGCTAGAAAATCGACCTATTATTTCTCCCATTCCCATCCGCTGAGGGGATAACGGATGGTCAAATGTAAACCTATAACATAAATCAAAATACATGAAAGTTGTCCTGTTTTCTCTGTACAAAAGCATCATGTTGGAATCAAAATGTGGTCTTGTTTATAATACAGTCGAATTTTCACAATTTTATTCAACATTTTAATAGAAATCACTGATATTCTGAGACGTTTGACTGCTTCCGTCAAATTGCATTTCGATAAGGTATTTTCCTATTGGTCCATAATAATAATGTTGGTGAAGTCGGCCCTAAGAATATCTAAACGAAAGTTAAGCATTACATCGTGAAGCCACTTGATGATTGCACAAAATGGTGGGCATTAATTTTCACCTAACTGGTCTAGATGACAATGACCACGTCTAAAGTTATATATATATATATATATATATATATATATATATATATATATATATATGTATATATATACTAAAAATGGAGTAATCCTTGATTTTATTCCTGTATAGATAGAACAGCCTAGGATCCTCAATCGATATCGATGAGAAAGATATATCAAACAATACGCAATCAAATAATAATGATTTTATTTATCCTGGCGAGGGATCAAGACTAAGCACTGCTTTTCATTACCAACCAGCTCTTTTTTTATACTTGAACCACCACGAAGGCCTAAGACTACAAGAGACTACAGAGAAGAAGAAAGCGAAAGGATCACACTGACTCTAGTGAGGAAACAAGTATGCATGTCACATGCGCACGCCTCACCTTAGATATCCGCCAACTGTCACGTACTCGTTCGAAGGGATGGAACCGTCTATCACCTACAGTATATTCAGATAAGAGATAGACCGGATGTAAACAAAAGGTTCGGGTGATTTTACGTCTCCACGTAAAACAGGAGCCCTCATCGGTCAATTCGCAATTAAATGCCTGTGACGAGCGGCAGAGCAGTCGTATCAAGGCAGAGTCACATTCAGGTTCAGACGTGTTACGTATGTCGTGTGCATCATTGCAATTTGATATTTCTTTGGACGTTATCGTTTGTTATCTTATTAAGTTGTTGAGTTTGTCGTTGTTATTGTTATACCTTGTTATTGATTGTTATTGTTATCAACTGCTTGCGCAAAATGCTCAGTAGTACAGATACTGCCGATGAAGTTGCAAACTCCTGTAGTCCACCTAGGAAACGCTCTAAAAAAAGACACCTGAGTGCAGAAATGAAAGAGGTCATTATGAATATATATAAGATCGAGCGCGAGGAGAACGAGGCATCAACCATCAAAGAAATTGTTGTGAAGGTTTCTCACAAAGTTGGGGTGTGTCGCGCATCAGTGTTTAATGTGTTAAGACAATACAAAAAAATCACACCTTTTCTGAGCCAATGACCAGTAAACATCGCAAAAGTATTGTTAAATCATTGGATGAAGCTGATAAGCATGCGATTAGGAGGAAAGTGCATGAATTCTTCTTTAGGAATGAAATACCTACTATAGATAAAGTACTGCAGGAGGTAAATGGAGATACAACGTTGCCAAATTTCAAACGATCAACTTTCCATGCGTTACTGAAGCATTTATATTTCAAATGGAAAAAACGGGGTCGTAATAGTTTACTACTGGATAGAGAAGAAATTGTGCTATGGAGGAGGATTATTTAACAAAAATTGGGAAATATAGAAATCAGAACAGGAAGATTTATTACCTTGATGAAACGTGGGTAAACGCAGGACACACTACAAGTAAAGTATGGGTTGATGATTCTGTAACTTCATCCAGGAGTGCCTTTCTAGATGGACTGTCCACGGGGATTAAAAAATCCAGCAGGTAAATACGAGTAATAGACAACAATCGGATGTTTTTCAAACCTTGGGAACAAGGTTTTAAACATTAATTCCAGGGGGCAGATAAAACATATTACAAGTAACAAAACTTTTATAACTTTCGATAAAATGCGTGGATGTTTTATTGTCATTTTCATTTGTTAGAACTTTTTTAAGCCATGTTTTTATGTGTTTTCGATATTTCAATAATTTTTTAATATAATCTTAAAATATGTCGATTATTATAAACTTAAAAAAAGTTACTAAGTTTTATATTGTGTACCGTTCCTAATATTTCTAATCATTTTAATTCATACTTTAAGCTTTATAAAGTTATAATTTGTTAATATTAATATTTGCGCGTATTTCAGGTTCCTGATAATTCATTTTTTAAAGGTTTATAACTTTAAATTAAATTGTGAAGCGCTGAGTAATCATACGACGTTCAATATTCTTTCTTTCAATATGACTAAATAATCCCAATTATAGCAATCTGATACTCATGTCTCAATGTTTTTTCGCTGAATGTGATGAAAACATTTGAAAAAGGTTCGCTTATTGAAATAAATCTACACCAGTTAGTACTTCGATTTCCAGGTAAAGGGAAAAGGCTCATTATCTGCCATATTGGCAGTGAGGATGGATTTGTTGTTGACGGTCTGTGGTGCTTTGAGTCTAAGAAAACTGGAGATTACCACGAGGAAATGAATGGCGAATCGTTTGAACAGTGGTTTTCAAAAATTTTACCGAACTTAGAGGAAAACGCAGTAATTGTGTTGGATAATGCGCCTTATCATTCTCGAAGAATGGAGAAGGTCCCAACAACGGCTTCAAGGAAAGTTGATGTTCAAAATTGGCTCCGCTGGAAAAATATCAACTTTGAAGAAGTAATGCTGAAAGTACAATTATTAAGAATTGTCAAGGATCACAAGGCGGAATATCAAAAATACGCCATTGACGAAATGGCAGCAAGTCAAAATAAAACTGTGCTCCGTTTACCTCCATACCATTGCGAGCTCAATCCCATTGAGCTCATATGGGCAGAGGTTAAAAATTATATAGCTAAGCACAATACAACTTTTAAATTTTGTGACCTCAAAGGACTTTTCAAAGAAGCACTAGAATTAATAACAGCGCAAAAATGGGAAAACTGTATTAAGCACGTGAAAGACAAAGTTGAAAAGAGAATGTGGGAACTGGACAATATTTTAGAGGAACAAGTCGAGCCATTCATTATTGACGTTGGTGCTTCAGGCAGTAGCGATGATGAAAGCTCATCAAGCTCATCTTTCCAATAAAAGATGTCGTTCATCAAATTCGGTAATTTATAAGTAATTATAAAGCTACTGTATTTTTTAATTAATTATTGACATTTTTGAATCCATTTTGACAAAACCTATTCAAGAATCTACTTTCTGACAATGTTCAACCATGCACATTTTTTTACGTTTTGAACGTTTTAATTTGGTTACATATTTACCTAGAAATCAAAAAATATACTAACCAATATTCTAAAAGCAATTTTAAAAGATATACGATTATTTTTAATTTAGGCTAATTTAAACGCCATTTTGAGATTATATTCGACTGTATTTCACCAAACATCAGGCGGCATCCGAAGCTGGAAATCGAAGCGAAAATTTTGAAACCCTTATGTATATTTACATCATTATATATTTCTTACCCCACCCCCACATGATCCTATATCCATCACCAATCGTATACACATCGAATTGTGCTAATGTACTACAAAGTTACGCAAAGCAGCATCTACTATCTAAAATATGTACTGCGTGACTCTTAATACGTCCCTGCCGAATGTTACAGCGTTCGATGATCACGTGGTCTTGTTTATGTCCGGTCTATCTCTTATCTGAATATACTGTAAGACTGTCCAGACATACAGTACTCAATTGCTACATTCTCTCGGGGCGTTTCCGTTGCACAGATCTACATCTCCAAGTATTCCATCATACAGGCATTTCCAAGAGTCTCTTTAATCAATACGCACAGATCAATCAGCCATTCTCAATGTCTGCATACAAACTTTCGTCATGTACAAGACTGCGATTTACCTTTTTATGTCCTTCTATGAGGTCTAACTGTTGTGTAGCTAAGCGATGGCCATGTTTACTTTGTAATAAGAAATGGCGCAGCACAAGTTCATTTACACCGTGCGATGTAGGCTATACAAGAGCTTAGGGATGCACTAGTGGTCACGTTATAAACATGGTAATTGCAGTTGCGTGAAAGGTTTAGCATAGCACTCAGCTTAAGTTAGTTGGTTCTGCTCCATTTCTCGGAACGGCACAATGTTTACACATCACGGAGCGGCAAGGTCTTGTGGTTAGCTACTCACGGTATCAACATGGCCAATAATGAATACCAGGTATGCAATCATTATGATACAAATAGGGCTAGTATTCTATTATTCAAAATGATCAGAAAGGAAGTCCATTAGACATCTCTCAAAGTCTCTTTGGAAAGCCGTAGTACAAAAATTCGTAGACTACGCAACAACTCGTACAAAGCTTTAGTAATTAACTTGATATTATCAGAACAGCGGTGAGGATATTGTTCCCTGCTTTTATGTACTTTTCCATTTTTTCAGTGAGTGCTAACAGCAATTATGATGTCTCTTGTAGCTGACTTTCATATTTTCATTGAAACAATTTTGCCTCTACAGAGCAAGAACGAACATTACAAGAACGTTATTAATTCAAAAGAAGTCATCCCTTACGTCCAAGATATAAAATAAACAACTAAGTCTCGGAAACGACCCCAATTAAAATGACACCAAACCTAAATGAGGAAACTATAAAAATGATATATGGGTTTTGTTTGCTCGCTACAAAGCGAATACGGGGAAATAATGCTCGTTCTCTCCTCATGCGCGGAAGCATTTAAAATTAGGCTTAACCAGGGAACAAAACCAAAATGTTTTATGGGATGAACAATATACCAGGGATGTCTTTTAAGTTTTGCATATAGAAACAGTAGGCCGCGCGGATCGAACGTCGATACTGAATCTTAACCTCACTCTTTAGTAAACTTAAATTCAAAGTTTCACAACAATACGTGCAGTGAATTTTTAAGTGTCACCAAGTCATTAGAAAAATGGAACTCAACCGAGAACGTTTTCGCGCCATAATTTATTACAACTTTCAGAGACAATTATCGCAACAAGAATGCCTTGCTGAGTTACTGTCTGTTTTCGGCAACGAAGCGCCACATCAGTCGACAATTTCCCGTTGGTATGGAGAATTCAAACGTGGACGGGTGAGTCTTAGCGACGATTCCAGGCTGGGTGCACCAAAAACGGCAGTCACCGAGGAAAACGTCGATGTTGTGCGCAAACTCATCATTGAAGATAGACATGTGACATATCGCGACATTGAGGCGTCCTTGAAGATCTCAAAGACCTCAATTCAAACAATTTTACATGAAGAATTAGGAGTAAGAAAATTAGTTCCTCGTTGGATACCCCACCTGTTGACCGAAGAGCAGAAAGTAGCCAGGGTTAATGGGTGTCAAAAAACGCTTGACCGTTTCAATTCCGGAAACTCAAAAAATGTGTACAGCAGTGTTAGTGGTGATGAAACGTGGATTTACTATTATGAACCAGAAAATAAACGACAGTCGGCTGTTTGGGTGTTCCAAAGTGAAGAAAAGCCAACAAAAGTCATCCGTTCTCGAAGTGTTTCGAAAAAGACGGTCGCGATATTTGTGTCAAAAGCGGGTCATATTGCAACAATTCCTCTTAATGAGCAAAGAACTGCTGCTGCGGATTGGTATACCACCATTTGTTTGCCAAAAGCCATCACCGAGATTCAAAAAATCAACCCCGAAAGAAGAATCATCCTCCACCAAGACAATGCAAGCTCGCACACAGCCCAAAAAACAAGGCAGTATTTAACGGAAGTAAAGTGGAATTATTGGACCATCCTCCATATAGTCCCGATCTAAGTCCTAACGATTTCTTTACTTTTCCGAAAATTAAAAACAGACTGCGAGGTCAAAGGTTCCAGTCACCAGAAGAAGCAGTTGACGCATTCAAAAATGCCGTTTTGGATCTGCCAGCAGTGGAATAAGTGCTTAGAAAATTGGTTCGAGCGCATGCAGACGTATATTAATCTTCGTGGAGAATACTTCGAAAAACAATAAACTCATTTAAAACTACCAACAGTGTTGTTTTATTTCCATATGCAAAACTTAAAAGACATCCCTCGTATGTATACTCCTGTACGTAAGTTGAGATGGTTAAGTACAGTATGGGGCATTAACCCTTAACTAATGAGCATAGTTTTATACCGTTTTACGCTGATCATGGGTCAAATTGACCCATGATCATCCGAGGGTTATTTTTAGGGCTAATTTTTCTTTTTTTCTTCAAAGAAGTTATGTATCTTTTAAATGATTTATTTTTACTCACAAAAGTCAATAACTTAAACAAATCTACAAACTATTAAGTAATAATATCAGTACAGTAGCCAGTATTGCACTTAAAAAGGTTTATAAACTAAAACACCTCAAAAATGATAAACTATTATAAATGAAAACAAGATAATATTTTATTTTGATTTCTAAGACTTCAGTATGTGAAAATATAACATAAAACTTCAAATGTTTCAAAACTTTTAAAAACTGACAACGTATTTGATAATAACAAGTGCATTTTTTAACTTTTCCTAACTACAAGCAATTTCTGCAAATAGTTGAAGAACATTCATTACATATGGGTTTTAAACATTTTCCACACGCATTGGAAGTTTTTCTGTCCTTTTTTGATGAACAAAGTCTACATCTTTTCCGCTTTGGTAATGCTGAGGCAGCTGATGAAGATGCAGGAGTAAATTGCTTTCAGGCTCTCCAAGCACTCGGCCTATATCTACTTTCAATCCTTTCTGTAAGCTGGGATTATTATACGTGAAAACATACAGAAATATTTTAGCAATGATATTCTATTTATAACAAGTTTTCATTACCTGCGTCGAATATGGGGCTCTACAAGTTGATACGCCAATACATCAATAAATTGAAATCTGTCAATTTTCTTAGAATTCTTACAGCTTTGATAAATAATATAGCTATTTACTGATGATATATTCAAAACTGTATAAAATAATGCCATGGTCCAGCGTCGTGTTCTTCTACTACATGAATATACAGAAGATTTTTGGTCCAAAGAGTCGACTCCTCCTTTGGTACCATTATATTGGCTTATCGGACTCCAAATCTTGTTTTCCTTCATGATGTAACGAAGAGATCTATATTACAGCTTTGTTTGGTTTTGGAACGTAGGACATAATTGTTTTATCTTTAGTAAAACCATGACATACATCTCCAACAGGGCGAACTTTTGACGGTAAAAACTCGATAGGTATTTCTTTTTTATTTTTGCGGAGAGTGCCGACATATGTAAGACCCCGCTTTCGCAATTCTTCAACCAATTCATTGGAAGAAAACCATGAATCACCAGTTACATTTCTGTTAGATTTTTCCAAAGATTTCACTAGTCGAATCACTGATTGTGTTGGAATTGATAACTTTTTTTCATCCTGGGATAATGTAAAACTATCGCTGCCTTTTCCGCAGTAGACGTAGGCATTGTACAAATAACCACTTTTAGCATCAGTAAGACATTGGACTTTTAGCCCATATTTGTTAGTCTTGCTGGGAATATACATTTTAAACTTGCAGCGACCACGAAATCCCACAAGCATTTCATCTACACAGGCTACTTCACTAATACAGAAATTTTCCTGACATTTTTTTACAAATTCATTGAAAACGCTGGATATGGCCGCCAACGGATCTTTTTGTTTTCTCTCCTCCTGGCAAATACTGTCATCAAATCTCAGAAAAGCGTTCAATAACAGGCAGCGGTTCAAGGACATAGTACTTCTAAATATATCCCTGCCCCTTCCATTTGTGGCAAACAATGAAGGTAAGCGTTCATGGCCTGATTTATAAATAGATGTAAAGAGCAATAATCCCAAATATGCTTCTAATTCAACTCTATCTATAGGTTTAAGTTCTGGACGTTGGACATTTTTATAGTGTTGCTTACTTATGTCAATTTTTTTATTTGTATGAATAACTATTTCATCCAATAATTTGTCAGTAAATAAAAGTTTCCATATTTGAATTGGATTTGGTTCATCACTATGAAGTCTGGCTGGACCTTTCAAACCAGGTAAATGAATGATAATATTTTCAGCTCTTGTTCTTACTTGCTTGTTGGGTGCTTGCTTACACCATTTCAAACGGTTTCTTCCATAAAAAGCAGGTCTCTCTCCGTCAGAATCCATATCAGTATCCGAATCTTCAGATTCATTTTTTTGTTGAATATTGACGTGATTGTCATCAGCTGATTGTTCATCGATAGATTCGTGGTCGCTTAAAATAGCAAAATCTGGATCTAAAGCCCTATCCTCAAAATCACTAGTTTCCTCTTCATCTTCCTCATACCATTTTAAAAGGGTTGCCTCAAAATTTTAATCTCCGAAACGAACTCGCTTACTTCCACTCATACTGATCATGGGTCAGATTGACCCAGACACGCAATATTTTCGAAGAAATTATGAAGCAAAATACACGACACATACGTTAGGCGGTCGAAGGCGTACTAACTTACAGCTACTAGAACGTGCGAGCGGTAACCCGCTTCCGGTCGTTAAATATTTGCGCATGTATTTTGGCATGGGTCAGATTGACCCATGGTCAGTAGTTAAGGGTTAATGGTTGTCCGAAGTCCCAACTTTATTAGCCTGGACATAAACCGCGTTCTATTCCGTTAAGATTTTCAGACATGCAGAAAAGCCACATGTAAACGTACCACACACTGCTCATATATTTCTGTCTGGTTTCTTGAAAATTGTTCTGCGACTTGTACTGACTAAATAAAACGTCTGTGGCCAGCCCTAAGCTAAGTTCAAGCGATGGGCCTGCTAACCTTTTCTTTTTGTTCTAACTGTACCCTACATTATGCAAGTGAACTGAAATGTCAAGTCATGCCCAGCTTAATTATGAATCGATATTTTTGGCAAAATAAAAATGACATCGCGGCGGGGGATCATTTTAATAGGTTGACGACAATATTGTATTTTGCATATTGCAAATTGCAACCTGCTTACGTGACATTTTTTTGACTTTTAACCACAGAGTGCTTGACCCTCCATAAAGACTAGAGATAGGAGGATAAAGAGCATACGTGCTCCCGGAAATCTAGTGCGCGTAGAGCGTCTGTCGAGTTATAGTGATGTACATGAAAAATATCAACATAACCTGCCGCAATCTTTATGATGGTCCGGTTTTTGATCTATTGCAAACAGGTAATAGCATATTATTGTCACGTAATCTTGATTTGAGGGTTTTTTTAATCAAGTTTTGCAACGCTTTGTTGGTCAATTAATATTAGCCCACATTTCAGCTTGAAACTCGTCTATGTTGTTATCATCATCACAGCTGAGAGACAATTAGATCTGCGGGAGATGGCGCATCTGCGGTGTCTGAAATATTCATTTCCTGCGCAGTGTACATACAAGAAATATACTATTTGCGCACCACTTTAAATTCATTTCGTGCGCAGTATACTTACAAGATACTCCCGCCTTCATCGTCGGTACTTTCACGAGTTTAACCTCATATCTCTAGTTTTTGTGATCTCCCCTCAAACGTGGATGTGACATTTAGGTGTCGCGCAGTGTTGCAGGAGAGGTGACCGTGCACGCATGACGGTTAATTCTTGAAGTGAGGAAACTGAGTAACTGAAAGAAAGAGGACGCGGTTCTCTTACCTTTCGGGGTATTGTATTCCTGAACATTGACAGAAGAGTCGCTACGCGAATTATTCTTGGGAGAAAGAAATCTCGCTGTCATCTAAGTGTATATAAAGACTAAATTAACTTTGTGAAGGAACATTTAATGAGAGCTGTCAAAATTTCGGATCATTTCCCGGGATACAAAAACCATACCACTTTCTTTTAGTTAGTCTACTTCCTCGTTTTCAGGAATTGGGGTACCATATTTCTTTTTTGTTCTTGATGTATTCATATCTGCTGGTACACCAGTTGGCGCAACGCGTCTTGGCAGACACTTATAGCGTCTTCTTTTGTCTTAGTTCGCCCTTATTTTGCCCCAAAAAGAATATAAAACGTCTATCATTTCCTGTCTTAATCTATCATCTCTCAATGAAAAATTATCTTTCACTCCATCAACCTTTCTCGTGCAGTTATGGTAAATTTTCGAAGAAGAGAAAATTATGAAAAACTATAAAGATAGATCGTAAAATACGCACTACATTCACTAGAAGAAATCCCTATTCCTTATCTTGTACACTTCACCTGGTGTTCACTTTGCAATGTTAACACGTTAACAATCATAGCAAAAGGCACTAGGCAGACCAACTAGGCCTAATTCGTTAAGTGGGCGCTAGGGGGCGTAACTGTAATATAAAAATTAGAGTAAATTTTCGATAACTTCAAATGCAATGGTATTATTTTTCATTATTCAGAAAGTCCATAAAAAAATCCTACAAGTGAAAACCGCATGTCGTTTTACTTCATTCATTATAAGGTTTTTTTGCACGTTTATAACCATCCCACCACTTTACGTCACTCACAAATCATCTGATTACTGAAATACACACTTTTCACCATGTAATTTATTCACCTTATATTGTCGCGAGCGAGTGTTTGTAACCATCGATTTTTTTACTGTTCTAACCGGCTGCCCAGGGCGTACCCCCTGTATAAAGGGCTTAATATGGTGGACAGGGTGCAATATACCGCTCCTCATCTTAATCTGCCGCGCTCGAGTAAAAAAATAGCAAATCTGCGGGCAAAATTATTTATAGGTTGTTAGTTGTGCGACTTCATAAAGAAACAGTAGCTACACTCACGATTTCTAATATTTGACTGAGCTTGGTACTTAAAACAGCCCAAACATCGTCATCCACAAACGCTTCCTTATAAGACTGTAAGTGCTCTTCCATCTGTAAGTAGTGGTTTCTGGCAGTCTTATCTGTAGGAACCTCTTCATCGAACAGGATTAGAGCTGGTGTTGTCAGATTTACTATTAATCTGGAACAAGAGAGATTAGTTGAATTGAGATCACAGTTGTATCACATAACGGTTATATCAAACATTTGGATCCATATTTACAGTACCGAGCAAAAGTGGAGAAACATTTTATTTTTTTAAAGACTTTATTAAACCATTGAAGTAAACTAAACACTTATGTTTTATTATAACTTAATGTAACATGTAATTCAAATGTAATTCATCTTTTTCTCATAGAATCAATTAGGCTGTCTATTGATTCTTTTGGAATAGAATTCCAGGCGACTCCATTGTTTCAAATAGTTCGGCACTATTTTTGAACTTTTCTGGATGTTCAGTCCGATTTTTTTTATCAACTAAAGGCCCGGTTTTTCAATCGCAAGTTAACTTTTTGGGTAGTTAACTATCGCCAGTTAACTTGTAGTTACTTGCAAATGCGTTTTTCGAGTTTTTTGACAGCGTCAGTTAACTTACCGGAAGTTATGTTGCAGCCCTGCATCTGCGGTTCTTAGATATCGTGTTCTATGCGTTTTGTGCGCTCGGCATCTGTGTCCCGTGTTATACGTCATGCATGATAGTTCGATTGAATGAAATTTCTTAAAACAGCCAAAATCGAAATCCGGAAATATCATTAAAAACCAATAAAACATAAAACCTTCGTCAAGCAAGGTAAGCTTTTTCAAACATTGTTCGTACAAATGTTTAGTATTAGACCCTATTGACGGCATTATAGAAATGGTGATATAAAAAGGTTGCAAATGCAATGTCCAATGAACCATACTAACGTCAAAAAACAGTTATGTTGTAAATATCTGCTAAATATCGTATTTTCCACCTTTTTAGTATCACTCCTATAATCTACAATCCAAAAATAAAGGGGATACATAATGCCTTTATCCTTGTTGCTAAAATTTCTCAAAAACTGTTTTCTAGCATGGAGAATGAGATCAAAAAGAGAGCTCAAAATTTCTCAAAGAATGAGGAAATGGTGCTAATATCACTGGTGAGCAAAAATAAAGATGTAATAGAGAGCAAAACAAGTGGCACAGTTACGTGGAAACAGAAAAGTTCAGTATGGGAGAGCATCGAACAAGAATTCCAAGCCCTAACAGGGTGCCACCGAGAGGCAAAAACTCTACGGGATAAATATTTCAATCCAAAGAAAAAAACAAAAAGCAAATTTGCTACAAACAAAAGCAATATAATAAAGACAGGGGGAGGTTCATGACAATTGCAAGCATTCGATTTGATTGATACACAAATACAAGAAATATATGTAATGGGATCACAATTAGAAGGTTTGACAAACAATTATGATGATAACTGTAATGACCAAGAAGAGGTGGTTATTGAACATGGCAAGTCGCGTTGCTGTTGATTGAAGCATTTTTTCAATTATTCATTTTTTAGTTCCTGATGCAAAGAACTGTGATGACAGTGAAGTGGTCTTCAATAATGGGCAATGGAGCTCCTATACTCCCCAACAACTAAAGAGACCAAAAAATACAAAGCTATCATGTAGGAAAACAGTACAAAATTAAAAATATATTTCTGTTAACTATCTACTAATGGAAGAAAGGCTGAATTTTGTGAAACTACAAAAAGAAAAATTCGTCGAAGAACACAATAAAAAAATGAAAATATATCAAAAAAAGGTTCAGCTGCCAGATTTACAGATCAATGCATTGGATAAGTAGAAAACAAAGAATTTATTTTGTTAATTTCTGGAATATTTTCACTTTCACTCATTTTTTTTGTATTTCGCATTTTTGAGGGTAATATGTTATTTTAATAATGAACTGTTTTCAGAAAATCATGTTTAAATTCATTCTTTAGTTACAATAAATATGGGATAATTCATATGTCAAGTAGATGAGAGCTATGGCGAAAACTTTAGGTGTCCAAAAAGATCGACTGGGTATCCATTTTGAGGATTGCGACATCTATTTTCAAATGACGTGTGCGCCTTTTCTGGGCACCAACAATTTTGGCCACAACTCTTATCCACTTGCCATGGATTATCACAGATCTTATACTAAACAACTTTTATCTAGTATCGAGTCGTTCACTGAGCATCAGTGAATGTATTGAATCGATTTACAAATAAGGTAAGTTCTTATAACATTGTTGATTGCATTTTGTGGCAACCTAATATTTACAGGATCTGTCTCCACTTTATCTACATAATCCATGTTAATAGCATTTTCCTGTTCAGGACTAATAGGGGGCATAGCTTCATTATTAGAACAAGCGATATTATGTAGCACTGCTGTTCCTACAGTAATTGCTTGAGCTGTATCAAGATGAACTCTGAGACCCATAGCTAGAGATGGAAATCTTCTTTTCCAAGCTCCATACCTTCTCTCTATAACATTGCGAGTACGAATGATAGATTCATTGTACAGGTATAATTCTTCAGCAGGAGTTGTAGTTGTATTTAATGGTGTCATCAAATAGCGTTTAACAGGATAACCTTTGTCATCAACCAACAAAGAGTTTCCAAAGTGACCTGATTCAAATTGTGTACAGAGCTGAGAATTTCTGAAAATGTATGAATAGTGGGCTGACCCAGGCCACAGACATACAATATTACAAAGCTTCAAATCTGCCTCAGAAACAGTCTGCACGTTCAGTGGAAAAAAAACTGCTTTCGATTTCTGAAGAGCTCTGCATGGCTTCCTCCGGGAGAAACAATTTTTATATGCGTGCAGTCAATTGCACCTATGCATCGAGGAAACCTAGCTATGTTATAAAAGGATTGCTTTGCTCTGGTAAGAGCCTCGGGAGTGTCCGGCATTTTTATGTAATTACTTCTTTTACTCGCTAGTACTTTCGAGACTCTTCGGACTTTTTTGGATGCAGTTGATTTGGAAACCCCAGCAAAATCTCCAGCAACAGTTAAAAAACTTCCATTGGCGTAATAGCGCAGTGCTAACAACAGCTGCTGTTGGGGCGTTAAAGCAGTTATTCCTGGAATGACAAAGTCATGTAGAAATATGGAAATAAACAATAATATATACATCTACCTGCTTGTAGGATATACTAAATCTTCATAGACTTCTTCCGGGACAGTTTCTACAGTCCTTTTTGTAAGACGCAATCTTGCAAGGAAATCGAGGTCATCAAATTCAACAAAGTAATTCGACCGATGCCGGATTATTTTTGGCCTTAATCCATAAACATGTTTATAGCTTAAATTAATCGATAGATTGATATGGATTTGCTGTGATTTTTGTAATAAACGTCAAAGTTTATGTCAAAAAACGTCAGGTATTTGTATTTAACTACACCCTTTCTAGTTAACTCATAGATGGTCTTCTGGTTAAAGTTAACTTCCGTTTTACTATAAACATGACATTGAAAAACGCTTTTTCATAAATAACTATAAGTTAAGGCCAAGGTCGTAGTTAACCTGCGATTGAAAAACCGGGCCTTAATCCCATAGGTTCTGTTTGGGGTTGAATCTGAACTCTGACCTGGCCACTTAATGACATTAATATTGTGCTCTGTAAAAAATGTTTTTATTATTTTCGCTGTGTACTGGGGGTCGTTGTCGTGCTGGAACCGCCAGCGTAGAGGCACGTTTTCTTTTGCGTAAGGTAGCATGGTATCAGTTAATATTTCCAGGTATTTGTACCGGTCCGTAACTCCTTCAATTTTGACGCTGGGTCCCATTTGAAAACCTCAGAAGCAACCCCACACTTGAACCTTCCCGCCTCCGTGTTTGATTGTGCCCAAAGTGAACTTAGGATCAAATAGATGGTTTTTAGGACGCCTTACCCACAAAATACCATCCGATGAAAATAAACTAAATTTAATTTCATCGAAACTAATACAGAATTCCACGTTGTTTCTGACCAGTTCAAATCATCGTAAGCAAATTGAAAACGGGCGGTCCGAATCACTCTCACTTAAACGTCTTCAAACAGTGTGGACACCAATATTTACTTCTTCAAGTTGAGCTTTTATGTCGATAGCAGTAGTAAATGGATTTTTAAGAGCAAGTGTTTTAATTTTCCTACCAATCCTAGGTGTGGTTTTTCGCGGTCTACCAGTGTTAGGAGGGCTTACCAACGATTTTCAGAGGCGGAACAGCTTAATAGTTTTGAAAGTTACCGATCGGCTTAAATTCAGCTGTTTGGCTATGGTTGCTTCTTTAATGCCTGATCGACATTATGAAATAATCAATTCTTTTATTTGCAAATTCAATGTAATTCCTCTGGCCATGTTTCTGAACTACACTTTACCAAATACACTCAAAAATAACACCTGTTCTAATCAACGACTAAATATAAACTAAATATTTACAAAATGTTTCTCTACTTTTGCTCGTTGAATAACAAACCGACCATATTATATTATATTGAAAAAAAAGAACGTATACAAACATAAGCATTTCATTATCTTCAGGTACCCATACATAAAAAACTTTAGTGTACAGTTTTGCTAAGTACTGTAGATGCTATTAACTAGTGCACCTTTAAAAATAATCTGTGCTACAAACCAGATAGGCAACAGCTCAACAACCCATCAACATCTTAAGATAGCCTGTCAGAGTTGTATTTCAATTGTCATACATACAGTGTAGACGAGACCTAGTAAAGTTGTGACAGAGGTGAGTTGTGACAAGGACGATTTCTCCCCAACCCTAAAATCTTAAATGGAAAGGGGGATCGAGTGATACCTTATTTTAAAGGTCTTTCAATTCCCTTTATAATGATATAAAATACATGAGCTTCAGTTCAGTAGTTTTGAAGATTTATTGATTTAAATCTTAAAGTAGACTTTAATAGGTACATCAGATTTGTTTGTACTACTTTCAGAAGAAATTTGACTAAAATAATTTACTTAATAAGTAAATGCTTTTCTTCACTACGCCCATGGTGTGTTTATCATTTTGTTGTTGAAAATAGCTATTGGAGCGTTTTTTTGTGACAAAAAAGTTATTTCTTGAAGAAAGATAAGGAGATATCTCGTACTTATTTTAAATAGGAATTTAGTACATAGTTTGCGATTGATTCGACCAAACTTTGTTGCTAAAATAACTTGTAACGCTTTATTACATAAATTAACCATGGTATATTCCACAGCAGAAAGAGTTGAAATTATCGAAATATTTTTCGGAAATGATCAGTGCGCTAATAGAACAGCATATAAATATTTAATGAGCGACATGGGAACAGTAACGTGCATCGAAAATATGTTCTAGAACTTGTAGCTAAATTTTGGGAAACTGGGACAGTCGCCAATAAAAAACTCAACATTGAAAATCCCATAAGGAATAAAAAAGTGGGGGTTTTAGGGCAAGTTTATGTAGGTTCTACTTTGAGTACCCGCAAATTGGAAACTGTGTGTGGTGTTAGTCGACGTACTGTCCAACGGATTCTAAAGGCCCATAGTTTTCATCCGTATAAAATTCACCTGGTACAAGAACTTAATGAAGACGATTTTGATCGGAGATTACAATTTTGTGAAGATATGAGTGAACGAATTACAAACGATGAACATTTTCCATTCAACACTTGCTTTTCCGACGAATGTTCCTTTTCCTTAAATGGCGTAATAAATCGTCATAACTGCCGATATTGGTCCAATTCTAATCCCACAATTTATCATGAGGTTCAAACACAGCAGCCACAAAAATTAAATGTTTGGGCTGGTATTTTTGGCGATCATTTAGTTGGTCCTTTTTTCTTACCTGGAAATTTGACCGGTGAAATGTATTTGGAATTACTGGAAGACGCCATAGATCCTGCATTAACAGCCATAATTGAAAATCAGAATGATCGGCGGTACATTGCGAATAGGTTGATTTTTTTTTTTTTTTTTTTTTTTTTTTTATATCGAAACAGCCGCGCAGGCAGAAGCCTAAATGCCGGAACACCGCGGCTGCTATGATGATCCCAAAGAAATTTTGTTAATACGATTTTTGAACTGCCTAAGGTTAGTAGAACTGGGAAAAGCTTCCTCCCGTAGAATGTTCCACAATCTAGACACCCTCGGGACAAAGGAGCGGTCGTATCGGCCAGTTCTGGATGTACAAAGTTTGACACGGTTAGGATGGGACGCCGAAGTCAGGCGGGTCTGTCTGGTAGGCACATCGCGCGGCGGCATCATGGAAGAGAGCTCTGAGGAGCAAAGCCCGTTGGTGTAGCGATAGAAAAGAGCTAGATCGCCGACGGCCCGCCGGTGCGAAAGAGTCCCGAGACTGTCTGTTAGAGAAGAGTCATCGATCAGTCGGACCGCCCTCCTCTGGACAGCATCGAGCATGGACAATGTAGTCGGGGCGGCAGCACCCCAAATGTGTGAGCAATACTCGAGGCTAGGCCTTATCTGGGCCTTGTATAGAGTGAGAAGGTCATGCGGAGAAAAGTACTTCTTAGCCCTAAACAAATAGCCTAGCTTTTTCCCAGCAGCTGCAGCTATTGAAGAGATGTGTTCGTGCCAGATCAGGTCCTCGGTGATCTGGACTCCGACCAGCCGAAATGAATGGCTCTTTGGTAGAACTCGACCGTCCATCGAAACTGTATGAGCGCTAGGACGCTTTTTGTTCGTCAAAGTACAGTACTGTGTTTTGGAAGCATTGAACTGTACAAGATTGTTGCGTCCCCAAGCAGTGATAGCCTCCAGGTCTCTTGTCAGAGAAGAAGTCGTCGCTAGTCTTCTTTTTTCCAGCTCAGCGGCAGAGATCGGCTTATCACTCTGAATCCCTGCATGCAGAGTGCTGTCATCAGCGAAGCTGTGGATTGGGTTGATCGTGCAGGAAAGGAGGTCGTTGATATGTAAGAGAAACAGTGTTGGAGCCAAGACCGACCCCTGGGGAACACCCGCGCTGACGTTGTGGGATGAAGAGGAGAATCCGTCAATTACGACGGATATCTTGCGGCCAGAGAGAAAGTCAGCCACCCATCTGCAAAGCTTTTCTGGGAGGCCGTAGGATGGAAGTTTGCTCAAGAGGGCAGCGTGCCACAGCTGATCGAACGCTTTCGTGATGTCAAGAGCAACGACATGAGCCTCACCATGAGACTGGATGAGTTTACTCCACAGTTGCGTGACGTAAGCTAGGAGGTCCCCTGTGGATCGTTGGTGCCGGAAACCGTACTGCCTGTCGCTAATCAAGCTGTGACGTTCGAGGTAGTCCAGAAGCTCGCGATTTATGCACCTCTCCATCACTTTACTTATAACAGAAAGCAAAGCTATAGGCCTGTAGTTGTAAGGGTCGGTTTTAGATCCTTTTTTTGGGATGGGCTGTACATGAGCAAATTTCCAGTTTTCTGGGAAGGTGCCGGATTCATAAGATATCTGGAAGAGACGCGAAAGAACTGGAGCAAGCTCAGCTGCACATCTCTTCAGTACAATGGCAGGAATCAAGTCCGGACCAGAAGCTTTGTTGGTGTCGAGCGACAAGAGCACTCGTCTTACGGTCTTATGCCTGAATGTTACCTCCCGCATAGTGTGGGGAACCCTTTGAATTGACGGCACTTGGGCGTTGGTGGGGACGTCCATGGTGGAGTTGGCAGCAAAGATCTTGGCTAGCACTTCCGCCTTGGCCTTTGAGTCGAATACAATAGTTCCATCCTGACACGTAAGTGGTGGAAGGCTACTGTGTGAGAAGTTCTTTTCAATCTGCTTGGCCAGCGTCCAGAAAGACCGACTGCCATTGCGCTGCGACATTACCCTGTGCCTAACTTTTATATCATGCTGGGTTTTGGCATTGCGAACCGCTTCGTTATATTTGTTTCTGGACTCGACGTCGGCTTGTCTGTTCTCTACAGTGGGGTTTTGTAAGTAGGTTCTGTGGGCCTTGATCTTCTGCTGGCGAGCAGTGTCACACGATTTGTTGAACCAGCCGTTGGACCCTGGTTTAGGAACTTTCACTGTGTGAGGGATGTATTCCTCCATTCCGACGTGGATAATTTCGGTTATTGAAGAACAGACAGTCGACGCATCCGCGTCAGTGAAACAGACATCTCTCCAAGGAAAGCTAGAGAAGAAGTCTCTGAGCCCCTCCCAGTCGGCATGTCCGTAATGCCAAGTTTTGCGGCCTGTGCGAGTTTCTGCTGCCACAGCGGCTTCTGACCGAAACCTAACCTCCACAACACCGTGATCTGAGTTACCCAGGGGGGACAGGACAGCAGTGCTGTAAGGAGCAGGATGCGTGGTCAGAAAGAGATCCAGCAGGCTACTGGAGTGTGATGAGACCCGGGGGAAAAAAGTAGGGCTCGTCACCAGCTGGGTCAGCCCTTGAGTAAGAGCGAACGCTTCGACTGCACGACCTGCTGCATCGGTCTTATTTGAGCCCAACCAAAGCTCATTATGGGCATTGAAATCACCGAGAAGAACTACCTCTGAAGCGGGGTGATTGATGTTCAGGAAGTCGATCTGGACGGCGAGGTATTCGAATAGGTCATCCCAGTTATGGTTCGAGGGAGAGCGATAAAGGCAGCAAATAAATTTGGGTGATGTTTTGGAGTTGAGGCGAAGCCACAGAATGTCCTTCCGGTTTGATTCCAAAGAAATATCCCTGGAGCAGGAAAGACTGCTGCGGACAAAAGCCACAACTCCCCCGTTCTTTCTCAGATTGGAGTGCACCTCGTAGTTTGGGAAGTTGAGATGTTTAATCGGTGCAGTCTCTGAGATTTTTGTCTCCGCCAAGAAAAGCACGGCGGGACGATTGGATTGCAGGTAGTGATGAACAGCATCAATGTTGCTGTTGATCCCGCAGATGTTCGAAAAACAAATTTTATCTTCGATGTTGTTCCCTCGAGCCCACCCTCCACCCGGACATTCCGAGAGTGGAGTGAGTTTACGTCCGGAGTTTTTAGTGCTCGAGGGATCCATCATCATTAGTTTCTTTGTTTTGGTAGATAACCGACTGCATAGCTTAGGTGTGGAAACATGCGGACATTTATAAGACACCCTGGGAAAAGCTAGCGGGTGGTACTGCCTCGGTCGACTGGTCCTTGTCTACCACCTTCTTTTTACGTGTTAGTGATGTTGAATAGACCTAAAGTGGCCCGTTGGCGGACTTGTACCGCCACCCGGCAATCGGTACTGAGGTATTCCTTAACGCGTGCACAATCACTTGGACGGGAAGAAGTTGTATACTGGATACAACAACTTCCGGAACAAGCATTTGCCACGGCCCTCGCTCAGTAGGGCTTAGGGATGTTCCAACAGGATGGTTAACCACCACATTACGCATTACGTGTTCGACAATATTTAGATCACACGTTTCCAGATCGATGGATAGGTAGATGAGGTGCCATTGAATGGCCCCCAAGATCGCCAGATTTATCACCTTTGGATTTCTTTATGTGGGGTCATTTAAAAAGCAAAATCTATGCTACTCAGCCAACATGATTAGAAGAGCTGCGACAAAGAATTCTGAATGAGTGCCTTCAAATTACTCCTCAAATATTTGCATGGAGAGTCATGGTGGCCATTTTCAACATTTACTTGCCTAACGGGTCAGTTTATTCTTCATTGTTAAATTACTTTGCTGCCAAATGTATTGATCTCTACTAATGATGTTGTATAAGTTTTATTTAAGCTTTAAATCAATAAATCTTCAAAACTACTGAACTGAAGTACATTAATTTTATATCATTTTAAATGGAATTGAAAGACGTTTAAAATAAGGTATCACTAGAGCCCCCTTTCTATTTAAGATTTTGGGGGTGGTGTCACCCCCGCTTAAGGGGCTGCACATGCTAACTTGATTTTTTGCCAAACTTGTGTCCCCCTCGAAAACTAAATCGACGGGTCTGAGCGTTTAAAAAAAAACTGAGCTGCCAGTAAATGCGTCTGTTTCGTTTTCGATGCGCCACCCTGTATATCGTCAGTGTACAAAAAAATGCGAAAAGTAAGTTTTTCTTCAAAATGTTATTTAAATATATATATCATATCTTACTATATGTGCATTGATGTGTTATTTTTTCTTAAGTTGTATAGTTATTCAAGTCTCAAAACGTTGCGCTGATTTTTTATGTGCGCATCGTGTTTAGAAAATATGAATTATTATTCGGACCAAGTCCTCATTTTAAACACCTAGGCGAGTTGTAATAGCCTGGCACAGCTCTCGTATACCCCATTTTTCTGCTGGGCTATTTTCACAATGTCTTTTTATTAATTTTAGATGTTTGTTGGTGTGTTAGTAGTTACTTAATGTGTATAAGTATACCGCATACTTTATTGTTCCAGAATGCCCAATAAGTATACACGAAACACTGATAGAGGAACTGCTAGTGACAAAATCTACGATCTGGCCAGTAAAAGTTTAAGAGATGCTGCGGCCTCATACAATCTAAGCTATATGTCTTTTTCAAGATATATTAAGAGGGAAGAGGCTTATCAAGGAAACCCAGAAGGCAAAGCTCCCTGTAAGGGGTATACCATTCCGACTCTTTTTACAGAAGAGGAAGAGAATATACTAAGCGACTATTAACATGTGCAGCAACTAATTTTGGGCTGACCACGAAA